CTTTACTTACAGCCTTGAAGCTTCTCGACAGTACCAGGCGAGAGGAAGCTCTGCCATATCGTCTCTGACCTCGACTGCCCCAGCTTATGCTGATGGTGTGTCATCCTACACCAGTGATCCTTTTGTCTATCGCGCCCCTACTACCTATGGATATGGTGCGAAGCCGTACTGCCCCCTTGCAACCTGGGGTCATGGATACGCGGATGATCAAAGCTACTACAACAGCATGTACCAAGCACCCTACTCCTCAGTCCATGACTCGGAATATGCAATCAGCCATCGAATCGCCTCTGGAACCCCAGGCAAGTCTGCCCTCTGCGTGGACATGGAGCCAAACTACGCCTACAGTGGTCCAAATAGTGCCACGAGCCTGGTACATCGACCTGCTCCAGTGACTACGGACTCGGCAAGCCTCGCGTACCAGACCATGATGCCAGACTCCACCAAGAGCCTGGGTTACCAGAGCCTTCCTACTGACTCGAAGAGCCTTGGTTTCCAGAACATGGCAGCAAGCGTCAACATGGGGGACAGGCTTTTGCCCGCACCAGTGGGCCGGACTGCGCTACCCAACTCGATGGGATCATCTTACAAGAGCGATTCTGGTAGCTCCATCTACGGCAGCAGCAGCAGCAAGTCGTCGCAAGCTTCGACATCGAATACGTCGCCTGTGAGCAGCACCTCCGAGGCGCCCTCGAGTTACACAAGTTACGAGTCCTCAAGCATGTCCTCCACCTCGGGCTGTCTGCCCTCGTATCCTACGAATCTCGCTTCTCAATACGGCCGCCAAAGCAACGACTACTACTCTTACACTAATTCTTCGGATGCACCCGTGCTGGGACCGGCCGATTCCATGCGTCAGGGCCCTGAGATGACGTACCGCTACATAGACACAACCAACTCAGTCACTGCGGCACCTCCAACTACTGCTCGTCGCGACATGCCCACCCTTAACAGCGGTGGCATATCATCCTTCCCACTGGGCCACAGCAACTCGCATTACATGACGCAGCAATCTGCAGCTTACATGATGCCTCCTGGCGATCTTGGAAGCGTTGGGGCAGACGCCGCCGCAGACAGCTACCGCAAGGCCACGGGGACGCTGCGAGCTTGAGATCTATTTGAGACGAAGCAGGACAACTCATATGAGCTACGGCTAGTATCACTGTAAATTGTTTGCTTGCATTGATACACGGTTTTGAGGTTTTACAGTACGCTATGTTTTCATTTGGGTAGGCATTTCGGCCATTGCCATTGGCTTTTCACTGTCTGTTGTTGCTATGGTTTTGGTCTTTACGTGGTCAACGGAGTTGAGGTCGTTGGCGAGGCACGAAAACGCACAATGTATGTTGTGATGAGACGAATGTCCAGCCAATGTCAGCTCGCTTGTCATGGACGAATTACTCATCGATCGTCCCGCCGTCGGAACAACTTCGACTTGGGAGCCTGTTAGCCCTCCAGAGAATTCGCAAGACGATGAGCACAGCGTTCGCCGGGGAAGCATGTCAAGCGTTGGTTTGTGCCACGGTGGCGCCTCGGTCGAGTCTTATCTCCCACCCCGATACATGAGTTACGTGTTTTTCTTTTCTTTCTGCTTTTTCCATTTTATTTGCATGATTGGTTGTCGAAGTGTGCAGCATATCGCTATTTTCCTAGCTTTGACCTCCTCTGGCGTTTTATCCCCAGGGCCTTGCCTCGCCTTGCCTTGCAGCCCTTGATTTTAGAGTCTTTCGGTACAAGAGAGGAAAACAGATTGCTGCGTGGGTGAACACAGTCATACCATTGGGCCCGGACTGCATGAGTTATCAGACCTTGAAGTTCTGGGAGAAGGAAACGAGGTGTTTTGGTCTGTTCTGTTCTGTTGGGTGCATAAGTCTGTACATTGCTTTATTTTCGGACAACAAAAAATGGTGAAAGTCAAGATTGAGAGTAGGAACTGGTCGGATAATGGATAGATAGTGAATGACTGGGCTTTGTCTCAGCTAAGTTAGATGAAAGAGCTGACGTCGTTTGACGAAGCACCTGTGTACATGTATGCAGCACCTCATGAGCATTGAGTACTCATTAGTGAGTCTGCTTTTCAATAACATGTATCTTTACGATGTGTACCCAATGTTCACCAATCTTGCTGTGAAATCGTCTTCTGAGTGACAGTTGGTATATTTGGAAGCCGAAGACAAGACTATCGAATAGTTGTCATCCCGCCAAATGATAGCCCTTGAGTTGCAATATAAAACCCCTGCTATTGTGTAATGAGGCTCACGATCACAGGGATGAGATCAACCCAAAATAGGAAAAAGACGAGTCGATAGTTCCAGGCCCACAGCGGGGTTCTTGGACGTTCTAAAAACGGACCTACTCCGGTACTTTTTCCTACAAGAGCCCGGAATCACCACGTTCGTGTCCCGTCGTTATAGCGGTTAGAGTGCAGGTGGTTCACTGAAGGGTGAGGGGACGGGGGAGCTAAATTTGGGTGATGGGGGGTCAACGTAACTGATGGGTAATGCTGTGACTTCCCCTCCACGGGCTCCGTCATAACTGTTGTCATCATCTGTTTTCTGTTTGGCCAACTTTGCAATTCCTGATATTTTCTTCTCTTCTTTGCGATTGATAGCTTAGAAGATTTTATATCCAAGGCAAAGACTTGCGTTTCGATTTTAGACATTTGACCCCTCCAAGCTAAGCTATAGCTTCATTGTCGCATTCACCGCCAACAACGAACATCGCAAACATGCAGGTTCCTCTACTTCGTCTACAATGCGGCGTGAACTCGTACGCCTGGGGAAAGAAGGGCAATGATTCTGCCGCTGCGCGATTTGCGGCCGCTACGCCCTCTGATGACCTGAAGATCGAGTCTGATACTCCCTACGCAGAGGTGAGCATCTACATGATGTGTGTCTATAGCTCATACTAAGAATTGCCTGCGCAGTTGTGGATGGGAACTCATCCCTCGAACCCTTCTCGAGACCTCAACACCGGCCGAACCCTCCTCGATCTCTGCGAGGACAACCAATCCCTCCTCTCGCAAACCATCTCCTCCCACTATGGCAACAAGCTCCCCTTTCTCTTCAAGGTGCTCTCCATTGCAAAAGCGCTCTCGATCCAAGCCCATCCCAACAAGAAACTCGCCGAGCAACTCCACGCTCGCGACGCAAAGAACTACCCCGATGACAACCACAAGCCCGAAATGGCCATCGCCATTACCCCCTTCGAGGGTCTCTGCGGTTTCCGACCCCTCAATGAGATCGCTCACTTCCTCGACACAGTGCCTGCGCTGAGAGCGCTCGTGGGCGAAGAAGCTGCGAAGGAGTTTGCGCAGGTTGCTAAGGATGGTGACGAGGGTGTTACGGATGAGAAGAAGAAGTTCTTGAAGAAGGCCTTTGGCGCGCTCATGGCGTCGTCTGCTGAGGATATTGGTGAGCAGATGCCCAAGCTTGTTGAGCAGGCGGAGAAGGAGGGCGCTGATTTCGCTGGCGGTGGTGTCCCTGCTACTTCTGGCGAGAAGCTCGCTGAGCTTGTGAAGCGAACACACGGCGAGTTTGGCGACGACATTGGATGCTTTGTGCTCTTCTTCCTCAACTTTGTCACACTGGAGCCTGGTGAGGCCTTGTTCCTTGTCGCCGATGACATCCACGCCTACATTTCCGGCGACATCATGGAGTGCATGGCAGCTTCCGACAACGTTGTCCGCGCTGGTTTCACACCCAAGTTCAAGGACGTCTCAACCCTCGTCGACATGCTGACCTACAACTTCGCGCCCATCGAGCAACAAAAGATGACACCCACCGAATATCCCTACGCAACACTCAACCGCAACGCCTACAGCTCCGGCTCAGGGGTAGTGCTCTACGACCCGCCCATCGAGGAGTTCAGCGTCGTGCGCACCCTGCTTCGCGGTGACGGCGCAAAGGCCACTTTTGAGCCTATTGAGGGACCTAGCATTGTCATCTGCACGAGTGGAAAGGGTAGAATCGCTGTTGGGCCTACGAGCTATGAGATGAAGGAGGGGTATGTGTACTTTGTGGGTGCTACGGCTGAGCTTGTGCTTGAGAGTGAGGGGGGCGAGGATGATGAGTTTACAACGTTCAAGGCATTTTGCGAGATCGATGACTCCGAGAAACAAAAGCTATAGATGCTATGGGAATGGTATGGGTGTGAAAATTGGTGTTTGTGGTAGATATACTTTTAATGAGGAATAAAGATTCATGATGGCACTCTGTGGCCCGATATTGACTTTTGCAAGGGTATGTGTTGTACTCTAACCTTATTTATGAAGATCGGGGAACATGGTGTGTTAGTTTGGATCTGAAGTCGCTTCTAATTCTGATCAATGCTGTCCATTTACATATCAACACCATCCTTTACAGTTCACAAGATATCATGATACAGTGTCAATAATCAGTGAATACCGAATTCACACCCTTATCGGTGTCATGATAAGGAAGCTTCCCCTCAAGCCCCTCCAAATGCGGCACCACTTGTCCTCACCGCCTTTTGTTCTGCCGCGGAGGATGCTCCCTTGGCACTGGATCACCAGCCTCAACTGGTAGAGAAAGACTAAGCACCATCACGATTGACACGACATGATACCCGACGATTACACTATTGAACCAAAAATAATAAGCTTTCAATTATACCTCAACTCTATTCTACTTCATGACATGATATAATAACTCTATTCACTTATAAAATCAGTCAGAGCCTCTCGTCTTTTGCTCTCTTTGCCGATCCCTTCTCATCTGCGACGCGCCTTCTGTCTTAGTCGCCTTTCCTTCCCCATACCATCCCGCCTCGGCCTGTGAGCACTCGGGCCTCTCTTAACTCAGGTTAGTCCAATTTTTTCTCATTGAATTCATGAATCTTATGCGCTTCAATTCTCTTTTTTCTTTTTTCCAATTGCGCTTGCTTTCGTTTATTCAATTGTCGTCTCGTCGTCATAATGTTTCCTTCCTCGGGTTGATTCTCATCGCAACATTCTGTTTAGGCGGTGGTATCGGGGCAGGATGGCTAACGGGCAGAAGCCTGCGCGGGACGAACTCAAGAACCTCCAAGAAGATCTCGGACCCTACTACCAAATTCCCCTAAAGCCTAGGCGAAGCGGTACTCACTCAAGGGAGAATAGCTTTCAAGAGTCTCTGCGCCAGTCCTCCAACACGCCGGAGCCGAAGCGATCAGGCTCGAAGCGACAGGATCCTTCGAGCAGAGATTCCACCCCAAGCCGCCCGACAAAGTCGAGAACCAAGAACCATAGTCGGGATATCACTTCAGACGTGGGCACGCCGAAGAGGTCGCCGAGAAGCGAACATAATACCCCGCGGCCGGAGTCGGTGAAGCCGGAGCGCCACAACCGCGAGATGTCGCAACGAAACAGAAGCGGACGGGCGTCCAACCGCAACAACGGTAATTCACATGGAGAGGAGGTACAGATATGGGAGCTGTGCAAGAGTCAAGTGGGGGAGATTGTCTCCGGAATCAATGCCGAGAATGACAGTCTTACGGAGCTTGTCACGATGGATAAACAAGTCGGTACGATGGACTTGGAAAAGATTCCGAGTGACTCGTTGAAAGAGATGGAACAGCTATGTCGGACAGGGGTTAAGCACTCGGAAGCTAACATGTCAGCACTCAAAAATACTATTGAGCAGCTTAAAGTGTTGCGCGCCGTGGTGCACGCTAAGGAACAGCAGGATGCTCAAGCAGCGGGGCCTGGTAAGAGGAATGCCCGAGACAGCGCGGCGGCAGCATCTTCGCTCTACGACTTTGATGGGGCTGGCGATTCTCCCGTACCGAGTCCAATTGGAGGATCAGCAAGAAAATATGGTGATCGAGCAAGAGAACGTGAACGAGAACGCGAGAGGGAAAGAGAACGAGACCGCGACAGCATGCCCCCAAAGGCCGATAGTGTCGAGCCTCAGGGGTCGGTTGGAAGCGGTGTCGGATCAGGGAACAACAAGTCCAAAGTTGTTTTCTCAAAAGGCGATGCAGTTGCATTCAAGCCCAAAGCGTTGAATGGGGATACAACGTCAGACTGGATACTCGGTGAGGTCGCGCAGGTGATGGGTGAGGGCAAAAGCCGACGATACAAGGTCCTCGATATAGAACCCGAGGACCAGAGCAAACAGAAGGAGTACCGATCAAGTGCCAGCAGTATGATTCCCATTACACCTGAGAGTCAAGCATCGACGCTGAAGGACTGGGAATCAGGTAAGGTGGTGCTGGCACTGTATCCCAACACAACCACGTTCTACAAGGCGGAGGTTCATAGCATGGACAGCGACGGCAAGGTCAATCTCAAGTTTGAGGGGGAGAATGACTCTTCAACACTACAACAGGTGGAGAGGAGGTTTGTGATTGAATACCGAGCATAAGCCCGACTGCACCGGGAGATATGTGCTAGGAGTTATTATATGCTCCGGTGCGTTTAATGATAGCGTTGCAGTGGATATGATAGGCATCCAGGAAAACAGTCCATAGAGCAGTTGCTTACGACGCAATAGCAAGCATCAATCGAGTATTATTACCGTTGATATTGGGCACGCACGATATGAAGTTGACCGAAGGACCGAAGTGAAGTGATTTGAGGCCTACGCTAATAAGAAGAGCCTCGGAGGTTATTAGTGTTGATGACCCTGGCCATGGACAAACGGATTGATTGATGGTTGTCGGTAAGGTTGTTTATGGCTGGAATTTGAGCCAGGTCAGGTCACTCACTCTAGGCCAGACCGCCCGGGTACCTTACAGTGACCGTATCTCATTTCAGGGACTGGACAGGGGACCCAAGTGGCCTATCGTCATAAGGGATTGGGGCTGTCAATTGTCCCCGCCCGCGTGGTTGCCCCGTGCTGGGCGCTAGGCCGAGAGGAGTCCAGGGCCAGGGGAAGGGAAGCAGCAAACAAGAGGGATTGACCCGTCCGTCCCTTTTTTTTCCCCCTGACGGGGGGGAAAAGAGAAGAGTCCAGATTTGATTGATGCTTGATACTAGATCCATTCCTCTGAGGGCACTGTAGTATTCCAACGTTTACGTCTACGTCTTCATTCGAAAAGACACCGCCAAGTTTCGGAGTCCTTCTCGTCGAAACGATCGTGCGATACGGATAAACAAAACAAAACAAAACAAACAAACGTTGCGATACGCGCCAACGAACAGCTCAAGGTGTGTTGTATGTATTGGGTCTTTTCTATCTGCGACAATCAACAAACGGCGACTCGGGAGACGACAAGAGTGGGAATCAACAGCGGGGGAGATACGAGAAAGCTGGAGCCTTGATTGCTTTTGTCAAGATCTCTCGCCTTTCTTTGGCGAACAAGACGTCACGTCAGACAGCAACAATTACATCAATCAACACCTGTTGTAATCTGACTCGCCATTCTCTGTCCTCTCGTAGCATCGGAGAGCGTTGTTGTATTATTGGTATCACGCGAGAAGCGAGGCTGACACATTGCGCTGCGAACAGGTTTCGAAACGAAACACGGCAACCCAACTCAACTCCCTTTGTATTCCTATCACATCACACCACCACCACCCACGAGCGCATACCGAATTAACATAACCGGACACGTTCTACACAAGCCGCAATCATGGGCGGCCAATTCTCAAAGATGATGGGCAAGATCTTCGGATCAAAGGAGATGCGCCTCCTCATGCTCGGTCTCGACGCTGCCGGAAAGACAACTATCCTCTACAAGCTCAAGCTGGGCCAGGACGTCACCACGATTCCCACGGTCGGCTTCAACGTCGAGACGGTTACGTACAAGAATGTCAAGTTTAACGTTTGGGACGTCGGTGGCCAGGACAAGATCCGTCCTCTGTGGAGGCATTACTTCAGCGGTGAGTTATAACGGTCCCGGAGAATGGAGTCAATACTGATGCTTTTTGGGGTTGCAGGTACTCAGGGTCTTATCTTCGTTATCGACTCTTCTGATAGGAACCGAATGGAGGAGGCTAGACAAGAACTTCACCGAATCATCAACGATCGTGAGATGAAGGACAGTCTACTACTCGTGTTTGCCAACAAGCAAGATTTGGCAGAGGGTATGTCTCCCTTTGGGCCCCCATTGTACGATTCCACTAACAAGGTACAGCTATGAAACCCCAAGAAGTCACCGAGGCTCTCCAGCTCTCCAAGCTCAAGGACAAGGTTTGGTACGTGGTGCCCAGCTGCGCCACCACAGGCGAGGGTCTTCTCGAGGGTCTGGCGTGGTTGTCCAACAATGTCAAGGCCCCTCCGACTCCGGCTAAGAAGTAGACGAGGAGCGAGTCATGCGACGTTTCTCGTCTTCACCCCGAGGGCTTTCCACTACCACACTATCTCGAAACGATCCCGAATTCTTTCCTACCTCCCGAACCTGCATCTCGATATTAAGAGTCTACAAGCTATACCAAGCTTGCGGCAAAGGAGGGATAATTTCGCCCACACCACATCTCGGGATCATAACAGCCCTCCTCTCCATACGGAGAAATCACCCCTCAAACCCTCATCTACGCCCTTTCCAAGCTCCTCACACCAAAACAACTCGCCGAATTTGCTGAAATACCCGGACTGTTTATCATATCTTTGCTTCTTTTTCTTCTTCTTCTTAATTCTTCTATTTTATTTTATTTCCCACGGGGGAAGTAAACTCTTGTTGATGAAGGGGGATGTGGGGAGGAACTTTACACACAATAAAATGATAGATAATTCACAACGGGTGGAGCAGGCAGTTTGTGGGAAAAGAGAGAGAGAAGAGATAGGCAGACGTATCTGAGGCATGTCGACCTCGAAAGTCTTTTTTGTATTGTTGAAATCTTTGTCGTTGCTGGTTTTTATGCGCCCTTTGTGTTTTTCCGTATCGTTGGTGAAAGAGAACCTGTGTTAAAAATAATGTCACTGGGCCCCCTTTTTTTTATGATATTTGTCTTAATGATATGGCACCCTTTTTTTTACTTCTTGGGGTGGTGATGTGAGATGGTTGGGGGAAGAGTCAGTCGGCGATGTGGATTTAGTGATGAGTAGAGGGTAGGCAGTTGGGTGAAGGGAGATGAATACGACTATGTTTAAACTTTCCATGGATCCTTGTTCTTAGCAGTCCATTCTCTAAGTTGTACCTGATTGCTCCTTTCTTGCTGATCGCAGCACTTACTCATGGTCTATCTTGCATAGTTGTTTCTCAGCTCTGGTACAGAGCAGATCGACTCACGCCTTGTTGCATGCCGTTTGAGAACGTGGACGTAAAAGTTGCCACCCGCTATCCTTTCCAGGATGGACCATATAACTTTCACTTGTATCACGAATAAGCTGCAGTGAACTAATCTCCATTATACTGAACGCCGGGTATATGCTATAACAACCGCTCTATCTATCCGCTCAACCCAAAACTGACAACCGTAATCCATTTATACATAAACGCCGTACTACGCCGAACAATAATTATTGATACAATCCACCCCATGCCTAACGATGTGGAAATTGCGTTGCACACCATTTACAGAAACACGAAGGTGGGTGAGCAATCTGGCAGTAAACCATCGACGGGCGAATGGATGGTTCAGGCCGAATGACCGATGGGTGCACGACCCAAGGATGAACAGTTCGTTAGGCACGACCTCTTACCACATTGGGATCCTACTCCTTCTGCCTCTTGGCAGGCCTTATCAACGAGTCGTCCGGTAATCCACTCCGCTTCGTACCCGGAAGGCTACTCGTCCGTATATCGTTATCGTCTTGACTCACACGTCGACAAGGATACTCGTTCTTGCAGCCCTCGAAACAATTCGCACTGACACGGTCGCCGGTTGAGAAGAAGGGAGACTGAAGAGCTTGTGCAGCTGTGAGACGTTTTGAGGGGTCGTACTCCAGAAGACCGGCGAGGAGCTTGTAGCCTTCTGAGCCGAGAGAGGCAAGTGGTGGTGTGCCGCCGGGGGCGCTGGTGTGGTTGATGGTGCTGTAATACCACTTCTCGAGGTTTGAGCCGCCTGGAGGAGGGGGCGGTGGGTTGCGGGAGCCGTAGTGGCCGTGGTGGTGATGAGGATGATGATGGCTGTGATGATTGTGGTGAGATGATGCCATGGAGTTGGCCAGAGTGTTGAGTTGGTTGTATTCGGGCATGGTCGATAAAAGAGGCCATTTGTCCTTTGTTGGCACGCCCATGATTTCAATAATCTTTTGCATCTGGTTGCGTTGAAAGGGAACCGTCTTCTTGCTATCCATTTTGGCTTCCTCTCCTTTAAATATCGGCCTCAAGGAAAGAAGCTCGGCGAAAATACACCCAACAGCCCACATATCGATGGCAGGCGTGTAGTGGTATGAACCGAGAATGAGTTCGGGAGCCCGATACCAGATAGTGACGACAACTTTATCACCGCTAAAGAGTGAGTGTAGTGGTTTATCGAAACGACGCGCTAGACCCAAATCTCCGATCTTTACTTCGCCTGATGAAGTGACCATGATGTTGGCGGGTTTGAGATCGCGGTGAAGAACCCAGTTGATGTGTAGGTACTGACATCCGTTGAGGAGTTGGAACATGATACTTTTGATAGTTGCCGGGGGAATCGGATGTCGTGGCTGTTGTGTGTGATGATGGATGATTTGTAATAGATCGTGCTCGGCATACTCAAACACCATAAAGATACACTTGTCCTCAAGCATGATTTCGCACAAACGAATAACGTTGATGTGGTGAAGTTCGCTGCAAAGACTCATCTCACGGATCGCACTCTGAGAGATGCCCGTGTAGCTGATCTGTTCACCTTCCTTGTCGGGCTTAAACTTCTTGATAGCGAATTCACCCACAGGCTTGCCATTGCGGCCAACAGCCTTGTAGACCCGTCCATAGGTACCCGAGCTGATGAAGCCAATGATGCGGTAACGATCTGTGATTCGGACTTTGGGCTGATACCCAGTCGAGCGATCGTGAGGTTCTACATGACGTTTTTGGTAAGCGTGAGCAGGAAACCCGAGGCCGATGTGAGGACGGAGAGGCATCGCCGAGGATCAAGGCTTTTGTCTCGGTTGGTGAAGTGTGCGTTTAACCACTCGGCATTGGCACAGAAAGATGAGTGAGATGACGATGGTGAGTGATTGAGGCGAAATGTGAAAGGCTGGTTGAGGTCCACAGCTGCAACGACAAAAAAGCAACGGAAGCTTATCAGACGCCGAAGACGGAAAAAAGAGAACGAGACACCGAAAGATTAAATAAAGTGATGACAATGGCAGACAGAACAAGACAAGACGCTTCAGCCGATGAGACTTTTAAAAAGACGTTGAGTTGTTGATAGCTCGGAAGAACCGAGACTGAGCTGAGCTGAGCTGAGCTGAGTTGAGGAGAGTTTGAGTCAGGCAAGTCGTTGTTCAAAGTCGACACCTCAGGATAGATAGTCTTTTCCCTCTTT